TGAATATGTAGAATAGGGAAAATTTAAGTATAGAATGAAAAATGATTTCTGATGTTGTTTTCTTATGTTTAGAATTGAAAATATATCACCTATTTACAGATTTCTAATATTATACCACAAAAGGACTCCAAATACTAGTGCAAATAGGAACTTTCCACCAAAGGGCATCAGAAATTCAAATAAAAAATCAACCCAACAACTGAAATTTGAACCATGCGTACGCATGGTTTAAAAAGGGCCCAAATTTTGAATAGTAAATAATTATATAACAATCTCCCGTTTGTTCAAAATTTCCAAATATTCATACCTAGTAACTCTAATGTATAAGGATTAGATATATTTCAATTTGAATCTAAGCAGGGTGTAAATCTCACAAAGTATTATCATAATTCCAGGTACTATGATAACTTTGAATTAGTTACTTCTTGTGACAATACCGATGAAATCACATACACACTAGTGTTATGTTTTACAAGTTCTTGTAACTCATTTAGTGCTATTATGACTTTTTTCATTTGTCCTATTCATTGAACTTTTAAGAGAGAAATTATAACTCTCTATTGAGGACCACCTCAAAACTCACATAGATGAAGTTCTTTTAATATCTTTGTTACTTTTAGAAATACTTATAATTAGTGCTGAACTTCATTAAAAGTTTTATAAACTCATCCCTCCAATCTTAACAGTCAGCACTATTTATCAAAGATAGGGTTTCATAATAGGTTAATGGTGCTAAAACTTATCCACTTATCAAATGACCCTTTGAACCTAGATATACTTGTTTAGTATTGTTAGGTAGGGCTACCGCTATTGGTGGACTTTTAATCATGAAGTTTCAACCACATCCTTCTTGATGTTGATCTACGTGCTTGATTAATTTTCTCACATACTCATGTCTCAGACTCATATGTCTAGATTTTCAATTATATACTTCACTATATGCTCATGCTAATGTGGCTTGACTATTACACAAGATAGGTATTGAAGAAAATCCTTTTGCACCCAAAGGAATTCAATAAAGGAGATCCTCTAACCACTCAACCTCTTTTCCGATTTTGGCCAATACTACAAATTTGGACTCTATTGTTGAATGTATAATGCATGTTTATTTCTTAGACCTCCAAGAAACTACATCTCCTCTAAGAATAAACACTTAACTTGAAGTAGACTTGTTTTCTCCCACACTCGATATCCAAATAGCATTGGTATATCCTTCAAGCATAGTCGGGGACTTTGTATATTATAGTCCAAGGTTTTTTGTTTTCTTTAAGCAATCAGAAGTCTTCCCTATGGCCTTTCAGTTTTCCAAACTCGGATTACTATTAAACCTACTTAGTTTACTCATGGCAAATGCAACATCCGATCTTGTACATTGAATCACAAGCATAAGACTTCCAGTTACACTTGTATACTCAATTGGAGCTATTGCTCTTCTATTAGTCTTTGCTTGTCTCTTTAATGTTCAAATGTTTGAACTTATTTGTCGCATTTTCAACATATTGTGATTGGTTCAATTAATAATACCCATTACCCTCTTAACTTTAATACCAAGGATAGTGTCCACTTATCCAAGATCATTAGATAGAAACATCTTCGTTTCTTTAATCCCTTCTATGTCATTACTAATAATTTCTATATCATCCAAATAAAGACATACACATGTAATAATATTATCAAAGACTTTGATATACAAACATTTATCTACTGAATAATGAGTAAAACCATATGACATAATAGTACAAATTTCTCATGCCATTATTTAGGTGCTTGTTTTAATTTTTATAAAACTTTAACTAATTTCCATACCTTATATTCATTTCTTGGTAGAACAAGTTGTTCTATATAAACCTTCTCATCAAGATCCCCATTTAGAAATGTCATTTGGCATCCATTTGATGAACATGTAAATCAAATATTGATGCAAATGCAAACAAGATCCTTATCGAGGTAATCCTAGCCACAGGTACATATGAATCAAAATAGTCGATTCCTTCCTTTTGTTGATATCATTTAGCTACTAGTCTAGCTTTATAAGTATTGAGTGTACCATCGAATATTTCCTTCTAAACACCCTTCTAAATGTTTTGGCTATCTTTATTCTTTTTTATCATGTTTATAACCTATTGATTTCATTGGAGTGTACATGTCTTGCCTAAAGGTATTTTCAATTTACGGCGTTCCCCAACACATTCTCAACTTACATTATTATTTTCAACTTACATCGTCATTATCATTCTCACATCATTCGCAGACAGACAAATATATATTCAACTTCACAAGTAAAATACGGATCCATAGACAACGTATTGTATGACAGCCCGACAGTTCATCTATCGTTCCCGACGAATTATTTCTGTCATCCTTGACAATTGGTCATAACAAATTGTATGAATAATTTCGACAGTTCATTGCAATTGAGTAAAGTACACTAAAAATTTCAACGTAACAAATATTTGAATACACAGCATTATGTACATACATTATCACGTGAATCGCTGACAAAAACTAGAGATCATAAATATAGTCTACACATAAGCATAATGTTACAAAATTAATAAATTCAGCTATGTTACCATTGAATTTCACCTAGGAGCACACAACATTTAAACAATGGTTACAACAAACTAAAATATTTGTGTGCATCACTAATAGAAACTGTAAAACATTTTAAAGTAAAAAAATACACAAAAGTAATATCACGATACGTTTCTATTGTGAAATAAATACATCCAAAAGTAATATCATGTCATTAACTATTTAAAACAACTGTTATGTTATCGTTGAGAATATATGACTATTTCCCTAGTTAACTCCTACAATGTATCTGATATATTATTTGATTTAACATTGGTTGACTTTCTATCCGCTCCCCCTCGTGAATGGAGTCCTAATCAATGCAGCAGGCACTCAAACACGTGTTGATCATTGCATATTTGCGTTAACATCATCATCACCTTGAATGGGTATGGTTGATTTCAATGGTACATCAGTGTATACTTATATGTAAAAGTGGTTTGAATTGTATTAGATACCAAAATTTAATAATAGAAGAAAATAACATATTCTACCAAAATTTGAAGTATAACATCAAAATGATACGTTTATCTTCAACTAAATATATTTAACGTAAAATATAAGAATTTGACTTTGTATAACTACCCCACTACGAAACTTACCGTCTGCCACAAGTATAGGGAACTTCGTGACTATCCGATCATGTACCTTTCGATTCGACACCTTCATACGAAATAATCAAGTTTCAAATGCCAAGGTTAAGAAATTAAAACATTCTAATATTTGCTTTTTAAAACTGAAAATAGTAACACACACCAATTGCCTCTTTTATTCATCTAGTCAATGGACCTTTCGGTAGTTTGGGCTACCAACTTTCAGGTCAGTATCTTCATACGAAACAACCATGTTTAAAATCATGAAAATAAAAACTTTAAACAATGGGATAAGTGCGTTTTTAAATTAAAGTGATAATACATACCAATCCCTTCATTTACCTAGCTAGCCGATGGACCCTCCTGTAGTCCAGGCAAGCATCTTTTGAGTCAATGACTTCTCTATCTAGAATAACAGTTTATCTCTACAGATAGATTCATAACTATTATGTGTATAATTCCTGAAATAATAATGGTGCTCAAATGATATATATAATACATTTCAACCCTTAAAATCACACGTAGAAGAGAAGCTTAACAAAATTTAGCTTCTTCAATCAACTGTCAAGAATTTTAGAGCCTAATTGTCGAGAACGACAATTCATCTGTCGACAAATGATTTCATTACTATCAGAATGAACATTACATTTCACATTCATATTGATTTTCCAAGACATAAAGGGCCAAGTTATGACAAACATGATGTATTATACTTATAGCTTCCAATAGCACAACTTTTCATATACTCTGTCATAAGCTTTATATATATTTCAAAGACATTTTCAAGAATGAAAATAGAATGATCCAACACTTCAAACAACATTTAAATAACCCAGAATAATCATATAAAGAGATATTTAACTGAGCTTATTTATGCATGTTGACCATAATATGCCAAATTCAATCTTAGCTCATTTCACAAACTTAGAAGTTAAACTCAAACTCAATTAGCCCAATAATGATCAATAACCATTATTTACATGAAAGAAAAATGAAAAACATAATTGTAAGAAATAAATTCATTGATAACTTACATAAACCAAAAATGTTAAAATTTTCATAGCACTAGAAAAATAGACAAAAAAAAATGAGACATATTGTACCAATTCAGGACCAAAATTGTGAAGAATAAAAAAACAAATACCCCTAAATTTGAAAAATCAGAAAAGAAGATATCAATAAATGCAAAAAGAAAGAAAAATAAAACCTCAAGAGATTAATGGTGATCTTCCTCGACGGTGGACTGATTAACGGTTATTTGGCTTCAAGCTTGGACAAAAATGGAGGATTTTAGACCTTGAGTAAGAGGAAATTGAGCCGTTCAAATTTAAAGAATGAGAGAGAAAATGATAGGATTTTTATCTTTTAGGGAATGAGAGAGATTGAGAGGATATATATATATATATATATATATATATATATATATATATATATAGTGAAGTGAGAGCATTTGATGTGATATTTTAAAGTTTTTTGTATTATTTTTTTATCTAGTCAAATCAATTTTTAATTAAGGATGTGTAGGGTATTTGAATTATCTAAATGGGCAAAAATGTCCATAATTTTTCAAAATTAACAATCTTGCAAAGACTTAAAAAATGTGACATTTTTGTAAATGCAAAATCAAAAATTAACTATTTTAGTAAAATATTGAAGCAGTGGGCCCGGTTGTCAGTAGTTTGTTGTCAAAACTTGAAAGTCAATTCAATTATGCTGTTTCACCATAGAGTTTGACTCGTTTGGTGACAGAATCAGGTGGAAAGGGGATTAAAAAAAACAAATAAAAATCCCTTGAAATGAGTCCACAAAAAGGGGATTAAAAAAATCAATAAAATGCAAAACAGGCCCACAGAAGAAGCGGCAAAACAAGTCCACAGAAGAAGCGGCAAAACGAATTCCAGAAACCTTGTTCGCGCGTCCCACTTTAGAAAAATCATTTGGGCAAATTCTGAAAGCTGTTGGTCTCCGACGAAGAATAGGGAGAAAGCTGCTCTTCTACCACACCAATCTCCGACGAAAATCGAGCAAAATTTCAGGAGCAATTCGACTTCATCTTTCAAGATGGCAGAGAAGGGTATGTTTATTCACTATTTAATTTTTCCCTTCATATGAGTTGTTTAATCTTTACCAACATGCTTGGATATCTCCACTATCCTATTTTCCTTATGCTTGGACATTTTATAATGTTGTCGGAAATTGTCCGGATTGTTGTGAGTCAGAGAACCACCGAGTTTGATAAAGTAGTTTTTTTTATGCAAATTTTTGCCCTTTTCAGTATAAAGGATTCATGTTTGAGTACGAATATTGTCAATAAAATGTTTCGTTGAGATTAGTTGATTTTGGGCCTTTGTTCTGAGATCAATTGAGGGATATGTGGACTCGTTTTTTTTCTGTTGACACTTTGGGCCTTTGTTCTATGATCAATTGAGGGATTTATTTTCATTCTGCTTCGCCTTATTAGTTCTGAAGTAGACATGTGATTTGTCTTTCTTTTGCAAGTTTCAATTGTTGTGTTATGAAATATTTCATTGTTATATGATGTTTTGCAATGCAATTGCTTTTTCTATTGTAGGGAAAGATATTTCCGAACACGCGGACAACATTACTCTGGTGGAGTCCGATAATGAGAATATGCCTCCCAGTATGAATTTAATGGAGAATGATATGTTAGGGGGAGATGTTGCGAAGGTGCCTGAGGTGGGTATGAAGTTTGAAGATGAAAATAAAATGTTTGAATTTTACAAAAGATATGCTTACGATATCGGTTTCCCAGTGAGAAAAAGGAACTCAAAAAAGGACGACGACGGAATATTGAGATATATTACATTTGTTTGTAGTCGTGAAGGGAAAAGACGTAGAAATACAAGCAGTACTTTGAAGCCGCAACCAACCATTCAGAGTGGGTGTAACGCCAGGATCACCGCATCTTCAGATATCTGCGGGGTATGGAGAATCAACACAGTACACCTTGAGCACAATCATAAAACAAGTCCTTCGAAGTCCAGGCTATATCGATGTAACCGAGAATTGAGCGCACATGTTAAACGACGGCTTGAAGTAAATGACATTGCTGGAATTCCACTGCACAAAAGTTACAACTCTGCTGTCGTTGAAGCTGGTGGATACGAGAATATGACTTGCATTGAAAAGGATTGCCGAAATTATGTCGAACAAATTCGACGTCTAAGACTTGGAGAAGGAGACGCCGTAGCAATACAATCATATTTCTCGAAAATGCAAGCGCAGTGTTCAGGTTTTTACTTCAGTATGGATTTGGATGAAGAGTTGCGATTAAAGAATATTTTCTGGGCAGATAATCGGAGTAGACAAGCATATAAGGAGTTTGGTGATGTTGTCACATTTGACACCACGTACCTCACAAATAAATATGACATGCCTTTTGCCCCTTTTGTTGGTGTGAACCATCATGGACAGTCAACTCTCCTAGGTTGTGGTTTATTATCAAACGAGAATACAGATACATTTGTTTGGCTATTTAGGACATGGTTGGAATGCATGCACAGCCAAGCTCCGAATGGAATAATTACAGATCAAGATAGAGCTATGCAAAATGCAATTACGATAGTGTTCCCAAACACAAAACATCGATGGTGTTTGTGACATATTTTGAAGAAGTTGCCAGAAAAGTTTGGATACCACGTGGACAAGGGTTCAATATTTGCTACTATACACGCGTTGGTATATGATTGTCAGTTTATTGAAGAATTTGATAGAGGCTGGATAGAGATGATCAAAAAGTATAATTTGTATGATAATGAATGGTTGGCTGGTCTATACGACAACAAGGAACGTTGGGTTCCTTGTTTTTTGAAAACCACATTTTGGACAGGGATGTCAACCACGCAACGTAGTGAGAGTATTAATGCATTCTTCGATGGTTATGTGCATTCGAAAACAACGTTAAAGCAATTTGTTGAACAATACGAACGAGCTTTGAGAAATAAAGTTGAGAAGGAGTTTCAAGCAGATTTCAAATCTTATTCGCAAATGGTACCCTGTGCAATGCACTATGAAATGGAGAAGCAATATCAGACGGTGTACACAATATCAAAATTCAGGGAAGTTCAAGAGGAGTTTGTTGGCAAGGTGTATTGTGATCTCATTTGTGCTTCGGAGGGATTTTTAGGAATGACGTATGAGGTACACGAGGATGTCGTATATGAAGAGCGTTCTACAAAGAAAACCTTTTTCGTCTCATTTCAAAGAGACAAATGTGAGTTTACTTGTAGCTGCCACTTTTTTGAATTTCGAGGAATCATTTGTAGACATGCTATTGCAGTTTTGATTCGCAACAACGTAAAAAAAGTGCCAGACAGATATATACTAAAGCGCTGGCGACGAGATGTGAGTAGAGCACACACAAGAGTTGCAGTGAACTACGCCGGATTGGTTAGTACTCCGGGACAATTGATGTATGATAAAATGTGTCAGCGCTTTACTACGTTAGCGAACATGACTGCGGATGATTCATTAAGGGCCAGTGCTATACTTGATTGGATTGACATGCAGTGTGAGCAGACGATGGCGTCGAAGTCTAGTCATGGTAGTAATGTTATCCCGTTGCACAGTACGCAAATATCCTCTAGGGCTGATGCAACACAGGGAACTGGAAGTGGTAGTGTGCGTGATCCAGAATGTGCGAAAAGAAAAGGTAGACCTAGGACACTTCGTAAGAAGTGTCCTTTGGAGTCAAGTTCAAAGGTTACGGTCTTCATGTTTAATCAGTGTAGTTGCTGTTTGCTAGTCCACATATGCTATATGATAACTGGAGGTCTATTAATTAATTGTGTGGGTTTGTAAATTTCAGAATGTGCCTTATGTTTTGGGAAAACAGTTGACTTTGGAACTCAATTCATGTGTAATCTGTCTCTTCGGAAGTTGGTAGTGACATATAATATTCATACCCACGTTATGTGAAGTTACTACACATGATATATAATTCCCAAATTTCTGTAGGCAACTTCAAGCTCGAAAAAATTACGAGACCGAAGGCCAGGCAAAGTAATATGGAAGATGTTGGTTGCGGCATTCAGGCCCCTCAACAAGCACAAGTAGCCATGCAAATACCGTTATCATATACACAACTCTTACAGGTTAGTTATGTATAAAATTATCATAAGTTCCATACATATACGATTTACTTCAAATTTTATTCATGTAGGGTGACAACCAAAGTGTTGAATTCACGCAACATTTACATGCCTCCAATTGGATGCATCCATCTTCAACTAATCCGACATTGACTCCACAAGGTAAATCAACTGCAACATAACAGAATATTGAACTAAGATTACAAAATTTTATCCAAATAATATTGGGAAAAATAGAGCAGCCACTTTGGGTTGATAATTGAAAAAAATTCCTTTTGCTAGATATGTATTCGACTAAAAATTTCAGTAGGGTCTTAGTTAAATTGAAGAAGTGAGAGCATGGTAGAGATAATTATCAAACTGGAAAATATTTCCTTTTTATTAGCGTCAAAATTGTGCCTAAATAATTTTTTATTAGCTCATTACATTTTTTATTAGCGTCAAAATTGTATATTTGTGCCCGAGAATTCTTGACTTATAATTTCCATCTCATACTATAGTGGATTTGTCCATAGGTTGGGGTGTACAACCGGTGCATGATCATGTTGGTGGTAGAAGACCAACTTCGGATCTACATGATGGAAGAGTTAGTAATGCACTTGCAGATGTTGGACCTTCTTTAACATTTGGGGAGCAACTATAGTTCGCTTCATTTTGATATCTACTTGCCACAGTCATCACAACTCTTAAGAACAAACTAGCCAAGTCTAATTTTGCGAAGTGAATCTCTTCTCGTTAATTTTTTTTTGGTCCATCGTTAACCATTCAAATCAAACATTAATGCTAAAAGTTACTGTCAAGATTTGGACCCATTTATAATGTTAAAAAACCTCCTCTTACGTTGGTTTTTCCTGCAATATAACATTCTTAGACAAACAACAAGAGTAGTTGTGCCATAAAATCACTTTAAAAGGAACCTCAATAGCACTAATAATGATTCCATCGCAGATAAACCTTAACTAATTAAGGTTAGAAAATAATAAAATTGTCACCCAAAAGTTAAGTAAATCAAATTATTACGAAGGGACATTCAATGCATTCTGATTAGTGTGCCAAAATATGAAGCACTCCCAAATAAATTTTTAGGAAACCATTTCTCAGGAACTGCTTTCTCTTCCTACTCTGAATTGTTCAATTTTTCTTTGTCAAGTCTCTCATTCTGAAAGTTAATTTCATATTAACCTAATCAACAAAGAAGGAAAAAAAATTGAAACGGGTTATGAGCTGGAGCATCATTTGCAAAGTTGCTATTTTCTCAATAACTGGCTAGAAACATGAAAACCCGTCCCTTTACAGGACTTTATATAAATTACTTATCTCGATTTCTATTTCCATGCTTATTGCAAATTATGACAATATGGGCTTTCAAAGGGATTCACATAACAGATAAAATTATTTCAGGATAAAATTATATAAAAAATCCAGTACACTCGAAAAATTGTACATACACTTATACCTAGTTTTGATGTAGAACTTATGGGCGAAGATAGGTGGTTTCAACTTCGACCGAATAGGCGGCGGGCGAACTACTCAGAAAATTGTGTTCTACGTCGCGTTCAACAGTGGCTCTAGTGCTGACGGAGAAAATGGGCGATTCGCACCGGATGTAGAAGATGGACAAAGCTTCGCTGTGGAGAGAAATTGAAGGTTCTCTGGAAAATGGCGACAATTTTGGGAAATTTTAGGGTCAATTTCACGCCCTTCGGGTTTTGACGGTGGGTGAAACAAGTTTAAATTATTGGGCCGGTTTTCAGGATTTGGAATTGTTGGAAAGTAATTTCAAAACAGGCCGCCACGTCATCCTGTCAACAAACGAGTCAACCGGTCTGGTGCTAGAGCGAGGTTGAAGTCAATTTCTACAGACCTCCTCATTCAAAGCTAATTGGCGTTCTTCCAAATCTACCCTCCAGTACATTCCAAACGTTAGAAAACAAAACGGACAAAAAATGAAGGGCAAAGTAGTAAATTCGAAGCATATCAATGAGTGCAGAAATGGCAAACAAACATTGCAATGGGTCTCACTGCAACGAAAAATTTAACAATGCCAGGTGTATATGAAAGTAAATATTATAATCGCGGGTCCCATCCTATTAGAGGGCTGTCAAACTAAGTGTACACGTAGCATTTTTCCGAAAAATTTAAGGTCGGTCAGATGCACCTGTACTTTTTTATTATTATAGCATTGTTTGAAAAATTAAAAACACTTTTCAAATAGATGCGAAATGAATGGACATAAGAAATAGGATATTTTGATTTTTGCCTCCTGAGATGTTGTCCTCTGTAGGTACAAGGCCCCTTGGATTTGGTGGTTGTGTGCGCTTTGCAGTGGGTAAGTTCTTTTTTATGCTGAATTCATAGCTCTTCAATAAGGCCTCATTTGAAACTGCAAATTGATATGATGCAGAAACAGTGGTAAAATGGCTCAAATCCAAGAAATGGTCATGTGTTTGATGTAGTAAGTAATTTTACTTCAAAAAAAGTTGAATGTAGCTTATGTCAATTTATTCAGTCAGTCATGCTACATATTCAGGTTCAAATTCAGACTCAAATTCAGATAGGATACATATCGAAAAATGATTGAACAGATTGAAAAATTAAAACAAAAAACATCAATAATTTTCTGACACGTCAATCTGTATCCTTATTCTCCTATTTTTAACCCTAGGCTAATGGCTTTATTCTTTCTTCATTCAATAGGGAATAAAGCGCCCCATTTCGGCTTTTATAGTGCTTTGTTATAAAAAAGAAAAAGATAATTTAAAGCATCCTTAATTTTACCCACTTTTAAGCCCCACTCTAGTGGTATCAGACTACTTGGACCGGATTCAACTGTCTCGGTCGGCAGTCAGGCTGACCTATTGTTCTTTTACTTTTGTAATTTATACTAAGAACTAGTCTGCGTCTTGTGCGTTGCACGAATTTTGTATTTATTTTAATTTTATTAACGTAAAATTTATAGATTGTACAAAAGGTATTTGGAAATAAGAAATATTTGTTTGATTCTCATCTTTTGATCAACTGTGTATTTTATGTCACGATAATTTATTTTTATTCTTATAAATAAGTATAATGAATGTTGTGATTGTATATATATCAACGATAATTTATTTTTAATTATTTATTGTATTTTTTTGTTTAATGTAGATAAAGATTTTTTTTATCTGAAATTGCAAATAAGTTGTAAATTGAATTTCGCAAAATGCTTTTCTTTACCAACTTCGATTCGAGAGGCTATACTTGTAGTTCAAAAATAACACATGCAGTTGTAAATTGAAAGAGTATCCACATACACAAACATTTAAATAACAAACTCAGGTTTGCACGTAAAATAACTTGAAGTGGCACTTACTGAATGGCCAACTCCCTTGTTGGTGTAAGAATTAGAACTCTAACAGTAGGAGTATTCTTCGGACGATACAACAGTCACTCCAAAGTTGGTAGGGCAAAAGAATTTAAAAAAAATTAAATAAATTTTATTTGAAAGAGAAAAGAATTAAAAAGAAATTTAAATAAATTGATAAAAAAACCAATTATTTATAAAGTAAAATTTTCAATTTTAATTAAATATTATTTATATATTCTTCATTTAATTTTCATAACTTTATTTTATTTTTTACTTCTAAATAATTTTAAACGAATTTTTTTACTTATATAAGTAATTTTTACATATATTAGAAATATTTTTTGTTAATATGTTTATTTTTAAATTTTTTTTTGCTAAAAGTTAATTTTTTTTTTTTTTTTTTTTTTTACTTATAAAAGTGGTCAGCACGGAATAAGGCGGGAGGTATGGAAAGTTGTGTGTTACATAGATTCACATTGCCTCTCTTGCACTAAATATATAATATAATAATATAAGCAAATGAGTTTATTTGAAAAGACGTGCCATAGCGTATGAAAATGGAAAACGGAAAAGTACAAAAAAAAATTTGAATAATCCTTCGTGCACAAAGACCACACTATATATAATTTTTTAAAAATTCTTTTCTCTTCTATTTTTTTAACCTATAAATAACTTTTTCGTTAAAATTGAAAAATTAAATTTTATTTGGAAGATAAAAGAATTAAAAAGAAAAAAAATAATTGATTTTTTTAAAGAAAAAAGGCATTTGTTAACACATACGTTTAATCTTCGTTTAACTATTTTCAATATTTATTTAGATCATTCGATATCTCTAAAATATAGTTTTCAAAATGAATTTCGAGAGAATGTAAAACATTTATCAATTCGACTATCGTACAGTCGTCGATAAATTTTTAAAGTTAGCTTGTTATCGAAAATTTCGGAATAGTAATAAAATAATTGATTTTTTTAAGAAAAAATGACTTATGCGTATTTTTTAATACATACGTTTAATGTTCGTTTAACTATTGTTGATATCTATTTAGATCATTCGATGTCTCTACAATATAGTTCTCAAAATGAGTTTCGAGAGAATGTAAAACATTTATCGATTCGACTATCGTACAATCGTTGATGAATTTTTAAAGTTAGCTTGTTATCGAAAATTTCGACATATAGTTTGAAAATGCCTACTTTGACGTCCTATAACATTTGCTATGATTGACCGTTTCACGCACCGTTAACGACGTGCAATACTATACTGCGAGTACTTCAAAACGACACTAAGAATGTAATATTTCGACTTCATTTGATATCCCGTAATGAGTCTGAAAATGAATAGAAAAACATAAGTAAAAAAAAATTTATTTCTATCCGTGCACGGAGAGAGCCATGGTCTCCGTGCACGGAGGCCTTTCCCATTTTTTTTTCCTCCGTCTCCGTGCATGGAGACTAATGTCTCCGTGCACAGAGAGATTTTTTTTTTTGTTGTGTAATTTTACGTTATAATTTTTTTTTTCAATTTAAAATTTTCTTTAATTCTTTTCTCTTCAAATTTTTTACTTACAAGTAATATGTCGTAAAAAAATTTTTGTCGCATATTATTTCTATCTTTATATATATATATAAGTGATTTTTTTTCATTAATAATCAGTATTTTTTAATAGTTTGAGATAAAATTTAATTTTCTAGTAATAATTCAATATATAAAATGATGAAAAAAACATATTCACTCCGTCCATGGAAAAAAAATTTCCGTCATACCACATAATTTTTTTGAGCAAAATGATGCATTGAGAAAATTGTTGCGAAAAAAGAATAAATAGTAATAAAATAATTGATTTTTTAAGAAAAAACGACGTATACGCATTTTTAACACATACGTTTAATCTCCGTTTAACTATTTTCGATATTTATTTAGATCATCTAATATCTCGACGATATAGTTTTCAAAATGAGTTTCGAGAGAATGTAAAATATTTATCGTTTGACTATCGTATAATTGTCGACGAATTTTTAAAGTTAGCTTGTTATCAAAAATTTCGAAATAGTAATAAAATAATTGATTTTTTTAAGAAAAAATGACTTATGCGTATTTTTTAACACATACGTTTAATGTCCGTTTAACTATTTTTAATATCTATTTAAATCATTCAATATCTCTACGATATAGTTCTCAAAATGAGTTTCGAAAGAATGTAAAATATTTATCGATTCGACTATCGTACAATCGTCGATAAATTTTTAAAGTTAGCTTGTTATCGAAAATTTTGAAATATAGTTTGAAAATGCCTACTTTGACGTCCCATAACATTTGCTATGATTTATCGTTTCACGCA